CAGAAGTCACCTCGGCGCTGAGGCTTTCATATGCAGATGTCAGGCAAATGAAAAGCCACGGAATGGAGCAAGGCGTAGTAGCAGGAGATGGAGGGGGTGGCGCAGCCTGCTCTGCATCGAAAGCGAAGCAGCTTGAATTACATATTAAATTTTAGTATGCACACACTGATACACAGACGGACGTTTGACAGACTGTCTGTCCACTTTTGACTGACAATGGGCCAGCATGAAATATCTTTAATTAAAATTTGTATAAAGATAAATGGGTTTTGATATCTACAATGGCTAGTTCAAAGTTTTTATTGCACAGACACATGCCCACATCTGATCAAAAGGCAAAGTGAAATGTCGCCTCACAATGAACACACAAAAGGACTCGTCTGACTGCTGACTCCGCTGCCTAACCAGCAGCAAAATTGAGAATTTAGAATTGAGAATTGAGCGCTGAGCCCAAGGACATGGACATGGACAAGCCCTGCTTTGTGTAAGCAAAGTTTTGATAGCTTTTCTATACATTTTGTGCTGTTTGATTAGGTCTTTGTACCAGCGTCAGGCTAATTACACAACTCGTTATTCAATTTCTGAGGGAAAACAGAAGAAACTCGATTCAATTCAAGGCTAGCCAGAAATTTGATTAGCCTTAACTTAAGCTGCTCATAATTTCACGGAATGCACATTGAAGCCAAATCGTGGAACAGAATCGATCAACTGAACACAAACAAGTCTGGCCAAATCCTAAAAACATATAATATAAATGAAAGAGGTACAAAATCTCTTTTAAAACTCGTAAAACAAACAACAAAATATTTATATATATAAACTTTCTATTATCATGCTCTGCTCTTTTTAACTTTATGCCTTTGATTAACTTTTATTTCTCTCCTTTCGTTAATTTTGTTCTTCTTTGGGTTTTATTAATTTCTATTTTGCGTTGATGTAAATAAATTTTATTAAAAAAAAAAAAAAAAAAAAAAACAAATGCGTTTGTAGGACGAGAAAAATCAGCTACTTATAACGAATCTTTGGCTTTCGTTGGTAAGTTTGAACTTAAACTCAAAACTGAATTAAACATACAAATCTTGAATATTGTATTTTATAATAAATAAATCATCTGCTTAAAAATCGTTATCATAAATAGTACAAAAGAGCCCTTTGTTAGCCATGCTGAGCAGCCTTCAAGATGCCTTTGCCTGTTTGTGCCTTGTAAATATTTGAATAAATTGGAGGCGGCCTCGGCTGCTAGGCCTAGCTAATGAAGTGCTTCTTTTGCCTGCCTCATAATTTATACACACACACGGCCATACCCTATGCTGAGTTGTACCAAAAAGCACTCCATGTTTATAGACCCAAACTTCTATGTAAAGTTTCAATTTTTTGGAGATATTCAGCTCCAAAAATAATTCACTTTCTGTATTCTATAGTCCAGTTCTCTCTGGTGCCCAACTTTACACTTTTTGAAATAATGTCTCCCCGTCTCTCTCGCCTTGTCTCTCTAAACAATCAATCAATATCAATGCCAACTTTTTAGCTTGATTGCGTGGCTTAGTACGTGTGTGATAAATTATTTAAACTATATATCTTAAATACAATCAAACTTAATCATAAAACACTTAAATCAATGCGCTTTATTAAATAGATACCTACATTACTACACATAAACTACAAAAAAAAAAAAAAAAAAAGAAGAATCGAACATATTTTAAACTGTTTAACTAGCTAAAGCATAATGCAGTATGATTTCCTATTTTATTCTTCGACTATTTAGTTTTCGAATACATTTTTAAGTAGCTTTCAAATACCTCAAAATACATTGAGTTTTTAGTTTTAGCTGGCCCAGTATAAAATATTTATTTATAGTTTTAATATATAAATATATATATTTTTTAATTTGGCATTTATTATTGAGAGCAACTAAAAACCAAACACATAAACAACAAACAAAACACTCTAAACAACAATAACAACAACCAAAGTGAACAGCAACAACATTTGCATGGATTAAAAGCAAAAACTTCTCGCACAAATTGCATTGTCCGACAAGTCTACGAATTAAACTACAAATCGCATGTCTTAAAATACACATTTTTCATATTTATTTATTTGTTATGATGCATGTGACACGTGTATGTTGTGTGTGATAGGGTGTGTGAGTGTATTTTACATAATTTTTTGCCCTTGAGCTTATGTATATCCCGCATTGGGCTTGATGAAGCTCTCATCAAAAGCCCTGTCAATTTGTGAAATTAATTAAATTATTTATTTAACGCAACGGAACGCCTCTCTCTACGCTTCTCATGCGCATGTTGTATGCGTCCTGTAATTTGTAATTTTCGGTTTTGTCCAGGGCCAAAAGCTTTCAAAATGTGATTCATGCCACGTATTGTTACCATCGTTATTGGTGTTGCTCTTGCTGTTGTTGTTGTTGCCAATTGGCAATTTGATTGATGGCTTATGCGTCATTTATTAACTGACATTTTGAAATGTCCCCAATATGCTCGACAATTCACAGCAACAGTTGTAATTTGAATGTTCTACACCGAGCGACAGCCGACAAATCTACATGATTCGAATGGATCGACTTACCCTTCGCTCACTGAATGTGGGGCAGGAGCTGAGGCAGCGGAAGGGAGTTGAGCTGCGATGGGTTAATCAACGGCTCTGATATTTTATATGACATAGCTAGAACTGTCAGACAGCAGACAGAAAACCAAGTGGAAATTAAGCACCATAAATTTTAATTACCTTTGAAATACACTACAACTGAGAAAGGAAAAAGGAGTGGAGCATTTATTTCCGATTGATTTATCAGAATTTAAATTATCTTTACGTGATGAATGATATGAGGAGCACTTGTAACTGGGGCATGGAATGTGTTTGAATACTCAAAGTATATGTCATAATGCATATTAGAAAAAATTACCACTTGAAAAAGTTACCACTTACCGTTAAATGAGTGAAACTGGAATCTGGAATATCCGCATGTAATATGAGAATCTTTACTATGTAAAGTCAAAAATGAATCAAATAAAATTAGACTAAAATAAGTGAAGCAAAAAATCATTGAGTCATGCCACAATATAAATTATTGACCATTTGAATTCTGGAAAATCGAAAAAAAAAAAAAAAACAAAATATTTATAGCGCGAATCAAAGGGAATTGATACACTACTAGCTGCGAAAAAATCAAAATTAAAAATAATTACAAAGCAGAGCTCTTAATGTATTAAAAACAGTATGCCTTGCAATATAATTTTCGAGTTTCATATTATTGCCCGAAACTAATTGCTATTGCGAAAAGCAAGAAAATCTCACCCGACTCTGCCACAAAATGGCGTAATGCGCGTTCCAAATTGCTGACAGTTCCTAGAGCAGGAGCGGCAGGAGGTCGTTTGCCCGAAAAATTGGTCATATTTCTGTTGCGTGTAGTTAGTGTGTACCGTCATCTGTTTTTACAGCTGTCATAAAACCGCACACAATAACAGCAGTAAAGTAGAAAGTTTTTAAAGCCAAGCAGACGTCGCCTCATGCTATATAAGAGTCATTATATATATATAGATATGAAGTAAAATAAAATAATACATATATGTATATACGACGTATATGTATATGTATAATTTAATGCAATGTCATGGCATATAATTAAATTTTTTGTGATTTAAAAAGGGATTCGCTGCAGCAGGAGGCAGCGAGACAATCGCTTGCTCTAAAAATGCCACAAATATATATATCTCTCAATGTATGTGTGTGTAAATTATAAAGCACAACAGCAGCATCAACCATAATAACTAAGAGGAAAACTAGAGGAAAACTTTGCCGCTTTTATGACAAGAACCACTTGTAGGCGAGGCCACAAAGCTCAAGCGCGAGTTGCAACTTGTTTGGGTTTTTGTGTGCATGTGGCAGCAACAGAGCAACAAGCAGCAGCAGCAGCAGCAGCAGCAGCAACAGCAACAGCAACAGCAACAGCAACAAAGGCAACAACTGCATACAGTTAACCGCAAATGACACAAAGCAGAGCCTAGTCCTGTGCCGCCTCGTGGTGCTCGTCCTGGGGCGAAAAGATAGCGCGACACACGTCAAAACAGTTGGCCACGTCATGTTGCAGGATCAGACAGTCGCATTTAAATGACAACGGCAACAGGCAAAAACCTATATAATGATAATTATATACTAGCTGTCGGCAAAACATTGAGTTATAATATGGACTCTATAAAATTTAAGAGCTCAATTTACTGAATATATACATTACTAACAAGAATAGGAGCTGCTGTTTAGTAGTAGTAAAATGAGATATGATATAGTAGTTAATTGTCCAGAAAGTTATGAGGAAAATTTGAAATCGAAGTATTCCAATATATCTTGAAAAAAATTAAAGGTTGTGTTTCTACAATATTTCCAATAATGTAGAATATATAACATATGACTCTTGTAACATACATATTATATGATAAAATGTTTCAATGAATAGTCTTTTATAAAAATATTCATTTATTTAATGATATATACATACATATATACATATGCCCCACCTGACGTTGAAGAATGTTCACCTACTCCGACTATAATTATAAAAGCTGCAAAAGAGTATTGTAAGAACAGAGTAAAAGTGTGTATGTGTGAGTGTGTGTGTCTTTGAGCATATATATGATAAGACTTAACTAAACTCTTACTCTCAAGTGTGTTTTCTATAAACTAGCTATGTGTTACTATGCATCAGCTCGCCATCTAGTTTAACAGTAACTTAACATTGTTATGCATTACGTGTCTGTTTTATGCATGTGCCCATTGTGAATTAGTTTCATTCGTTACCTTTACTTTACTCTGCATCTACTATATCTATATCTATTCTATCTAGCCTAGTTTCTGTGTGTCTCTTGTCTCACATCATGTTGCTTTATTATTTCAGTTATAGTCATACTGATTGTTTCATTTATGATTAGTATTTAACAATCAGCAAATATTTGATCGGTACTAAAATATTTTGAATGTATAACAAATAGGAATGGAACGACTACAACTTGCGCTGGAATGAAACGGAATATGGAGGCGTCAAAGATCTACGAATTACGCCCAACAAGCTGTGGAAGCCCGACGTGCTAATGTACAATAGGTAAGTGGGTCCAAGTACAGTTCGAATTTCGGACTTACTAATTCAATATAACAATGGATAAACGGATAAACAATAAACTATTAGAAATCAAAGTTACATTTTGATTATGCGCTCTATACTTAGTAATATACATCTTACAAGTTCTCTAGGTATATAACATGAAATTGATATTTTAAAGACCCAAATATATCACAATCTTATACTTTTCAACACTATATAATTCATATATTATAAATGCAATGGTAAGTGTGTATAACTGTTTTAGTTAAGCCCCAGCTAGAGGATAGCTGCCAATCTCATAAACTCTATACATATCTAATATTTTATTCTAGCAAAGTTTTCGTTCCGTATTATATTATAAACTAATTTTATTGTAGTTGGTTTGTGCACTTTAGTTGTAAATTAAATATATATATTTGTTGAGTTGCTTTCTTTTAATATTACAGCCAGTTCGAATTGTAGTCCATAGACTATAGATTGTTCAGCTATAACTTACTTATACCAATATTTTTAAGTTCCTGTACTATGGCCTTTCTAAATGGAGCAATGGAATTTAAAAAAATGCATTACAAATATCAAATTAATAAAATTAGTTATCTGCATGCCTAACCAAATGAATAGAACTGATAGAAATAAGGAGAAATACTATATCACTTCAGAACGGCTCTCTCTTTCTAACCGAAAAATCTTGAATTCTACAATGGAAAACCATTTAAGTAAAGCTCAAATATATATGAATTATTTCCAGATTCATCAAGTAATTAATTCATAATTCAGCCTCATTGGTTATCTTCAAGTGATAACAGATATACTGTAGAATGTTCCATTCGACCCAGGTATATATGCTTGGACTTGTTGTCTAGTGGAGGATAGAAAACAGCAACCTTTTGTTGGTTCAGGGAGACTATGTGTATTAACTAACATAGGTATGATATTAATAGTCAAGTATATGATAGCGTTGCCACTAACAACGAAAAGCTTTGCCAGATCAACAAGATAATCATAGGGTTAGACAGCTAGGCATTGCTCTACACAAATATACTCGCTTAAGATGTTTTCGTGTACGCAAATCAAGTATTAAGAACAAAACGATTCAATGCTCAGTAAATTTCCAATGCTCCAGCCAAACGAACTGCCCTATAATTAATACTCTGTATGATTTCCATTTCGTAATTATAGCTCAATTTTGTTTATAGTTCACTTTTTGTTTGCTGAAACCGTAAACATATGCTCTATGCAAATACAATATATATGCAATATCCATAAATATCTATAGATAATCCCTGACCTGCTACTATAAGCGTATCATAATCCCACTCGCTATTGTTTGTGTTTATGTCTATTATGAAAGGCAAAGCTAAAATCTAAACATAATCAACTATTTGTGTTTATTTCTATTTGTGTTTCAATGTTACCCAAATAACAAATTTTTAATTTGCTTTTAATGTGTTCTATGTGGCAAAGTCGACTAGACCTAAAAAATAAAACGAAAATATGTTTAATTTTTATTTTAATGATAACAAGAAAATCGTTGTTTACTTCGAATAAGAGTAGTTTACACGCAGTGGTATTCTAGTGGGACTGTACATTGTCAGCTTGCCGTTGATGTGGGCCTCACTTTGTAATTGGATTCGTAATGCTAACCGAAACAAATATATATATATGTCTATATATATATGCAATATATATAATCTGTAACAGCTAATCAAATAATAACAAATTATAAAAACAAAACTTCAATTGATAAAAACGACCGAACTAAATAAAAACTCAGACTAAACTCCTTGAACTCTAAACACATATTGTTTAACCAGAATATTATGCAAGTAGTTTGTTCGAAACAATCGAAAGTTCCCAAATCAAATACTTCCATAAAATCACATATATCCAATTCATGTGATCTGTTCCATTAGCATATTTATATATATATAATGTATAGTTAATGCATACGTAGTACATATATATATATATACTTAGTTTCCAAGCAAAAAAAAAAAAAAAAAAAAACATAGACAATAACCAACATATGAAATTGTTCAACAATATGCTGGTGTAATATTTCTGGTTAGACGTTCAGTACTTGAATTTATTTGGCCAAAACTTAAAAAAGTAAAAAAAAATAAAAATAAAAAACTCAATTGTCGAGAAAAGACAATCAATTTATTTGCATTTGTTTGTAAAAAAAAAAAAAAAAAAAACCAAATCAAAGGCAAAATAGATTTTCAAGTATTGTGCATGAGAAATCAAATCCCTCGTATTAAACAGCAACTAAATAAAAACGCATATATAAATAATACCAATCAACAAAACAAAAAATGAATATATTTATCGAAAAACCTAACATCCATCCTAACCTTAACTAAATGTCAAGTGCCTCAACAAATCTCAATCTCTGCTGCCACTTTAAACTATTGCCATTCCTACACCATTTTGTTATTGCTAAACCCAAATCCCCAACCGAGCCACTAACCACAACATACACCACACCACATATTATATATATACTAACAAAACTATATTAAAAAAAAAAAACAACAACAAACTTCATACTTAAACTACATTCATATTTAAGTCATTACCAAATTACCAAAATTTTAGTTTAGACTAAACTGAATTAACTTAAGCGCAACGACACCAAATCATATTACATTTAAAGGCGAGCGTGAAATATGCCAGCAATATACTTTAATGTTGTGATACGATAAAAAAATATATATACACATAGGATTAAAATAATAATATAAGTTGCTCTGATTGCCGTTGGTTAGGTGAGCTTTCTTTATGAATTTAGGACTAATTTATTTCACTACCTGAAATACCTTTAGAATAAATTCAATTCAGAAAATTGTTTATCAGGAGAGAAAGAAAACTATAAAAAATATTTATAAATATTATTCCAATTTAGTCTTAAAATCAACTTCCTATACAAAAGTAATATTTATATTTAATATAATTCGGATGTCAATATATTCCTCCTCTATGGAGACAACATAAATCTCTCTCCCTCTCTCTCTCTATATATATATATCTCTTTCTATATATATACATATATATATCTCTCTAAATTTATCTCTTTCCATAAATATATATCTCTCTCTTGCTCTCTCTTTCTTATCCTTATGTAGTAGACAACTCTATTCATTACTCCTCACATTCAACCTACCTTAAGTAAGCTTTGCTTTCGTGCCTGTTCATGGCTGAACTACAAATCAAATATTTCAGTAAAACGTGCTCAATTATTTACGTCTGCATAAAGTTGAGCGTTTTTTATTCCCAATAGTTATTCCTATTTCGCTCTGCTTTACTCTTGCGGTTCTCCCTATTTCTTGCTCTCTTTTTTGTTGGACAGCTCATCAAAGAATTGTACGCTGGATGCTTAAATTCCAATCACGCTCGAGATGCAGACAAACTTTTGCCTAATTCACGTATCAATCACTTAACAATAAGTACAAATTTTTGCGCTAAACTTTATTTTCATTTGCCGTCACTTAGCCCATCAACTCAAACATATTTAAAGAACAAATAAACTCTCTGTAATCCCAAAATATAAATAAAAAACCTAACTATATCTTACTTATATCTATGTGTATGGATGTATTTACTGTATGTATGTGTGTGTGCTTAAATTATATACTTAGAAATAAAAAAATCAACGTTAATTACGTCCTGCCACAAGAAGAATGAGATACGTCCACCTATTCGATTAGCAGATATTCCTCACTTCACTGTTAGGTCTTTTATATACATGTCATGAATATATATTTAATATATATTATATATACATAATTTTATATTCTGCCAAATTCCTTGCTCAATAAATTTTAAAAGAGATTTCTTTAATGTTTCCCTATAACCTATCAGCAACGGGTTTCATAACAATAATCGCAAATGCCAGCTAAGTTACCCGTTCTTTTTAAAGCGATTACAGGGCATGAGCGCAGTAAGGATTAATTAAGTGTACTTTTTACGTATTTCTACGTATTTCCGATTGCAATCAGCATAATTATTTAGCTAAATGCAATGGATACGCCCCCACAATCCACATTATTCTCGTTCTTTCCATTGTATTGCTATACAAATATATATAAATATTTGTGTGTGTGTGAGTGAGTGTGTAAGTGTGAATGTGTGCTTACCTATTAACCAAATAATTAATTGTTATCATTGTTTATATGCGTGTGCTATTGTACGTTTTAGCTGTGTTTCACTGTGTCTATAGCTATCAATATTTTCATATCATGTCTTAGTCGATTGTTAAACAGTTAATACTAACCCATCCATAACCATATAAATAAATATATCTATATACATACCCACATATATATATATCTATTGTTATAACCAATTCCATATGCATTTATATTTCTGTTTGTGTGTGTGTGTGAGTGTGTCTCTTATTTGTCTATATGTCTCTAGACAATTGCGTTTAATGATGCAGCGCATACAACCAACGAATATCCGAAACAAAAACCGAATCAATCGTATGACGGCTCATTAAGTCTATGTAAGTTAGTCTAAGTTTTGTTGTAAGCTCGGCTTAGTTGCATGTTGCAATGTAAAAGTTAAGCTATTTATACATTAAAATATATCTATATGCATATGTGTGTGTGTATGCGAGTGTGTGAAAACACACAAACAAAGCTAAGTGACTTGTGGCTAAAAGTTTTTAGTGGCGACATTTTCTGGGAACTTTACATATTTATATATTTTTATCTATGTATATAGGACATCAAATACTACGTATAAAGGATATATGTATATACACCTATGATATGTCAGTTCATGACTCAGCTCTTATAAGTTTACATACAAATTAGATATTCTTACACTGTGCACACACACTCTCCTTGCAAAAATATCCTATTTCGAAAAGCTAAATATTCAGAGGTTGAACACAAATTTCTTCTCATTAAAAAAAAGATTAAGGACATTTAAAAGGCATTTACTAACGCGCCAGAAGTCGGCTTTCATGTTGGCTTGCTTGACATAAAGCCGGCATA